ATATACGTTATTTTAGTTCGGGGACTGTCTGCGTCAGCCAAGTGAATATACCCCTCAATCCCTTTACACAACTTGATCTAACGTAGGCGAACAAATTTTGTTACCTCCATATTGGTTGGTACACACGTTCTGGAGCGCCAATTCAAGTATTTATATTTATAACCGTAGTACAATAAGAAGCCTACATTGTAAGTGCGAGTGCCTTTCTTTCACAAACATACGTTCAAAGTGTCGCTTTTCTCATTATTTTTCCAAAATATGTTTAGACCTATTAATAATATTATTTGATACTCAATACCATGAACTGTAACCGCCAACCAAAAACATATTGGAATCCGCCGCTTTGAAGATCACTTTTATATAAAAAAAAATGTAAGATGCAGTTCAAGCGTAATCGTCGTGCCAACAATTTTTTTCTCTTTCTGTCATTTCTCATGGACATCGTAGGATGACGTCTGCGCATGTTGTAGTTAGAAAACACAAATTCAAATTTCCTGCATCTGCGTCAGTTTGGGAGATCGAAGTACAAACACCCCTTATTATCGACCATAGAAAAGACATGGCAAGTTAGGTTCTTTAAACTTGATGCATTATTTATATTTATCGATCCACGGCACGTATTTAGGCTTTCTCTAATGGACTACGCACACTCACACTGTCATAGCGGAGCCTGTGAAACCAGATCGACCGCAAATCGCCTTTTTATTGCCGGTTATGATTGGGCCAAGTATGAGTTACAGTTATACACGAGATTGTGATGTCGTCAGTGGACTCTACCATATGCGTGTCTAGAAATTGTAACGGCAACAGACTTCGGTCTGTAGAAAATTAGGTAATCTCTGTGGACTGGTATAGATAGGTAAAGATGAGGCGCAAAGAACTTGATGGAATTTGGATTGAGACAACGGAGCGCCGGATTTAATAACTTATGGAATTAGGGAAACTGGAAGCGTTTTAAAAGTGGGAGCGGCAATGTTTTTACGTCGAGTATATGGGAATTTTATTTTTGAAACCGTTAATATTACGTAGAGTAGTTGGAAGGTATAAACAGTAGGCGATTTAGAACAGAACGGGAAAGACACGACATTGTCCCGTAAACAAATTCAAAATCGTGTTCTTTTCACGATCGAAATTTTCTGGACTGATGAGCTGACGGTCCAATCCGAAATGACAAATATTTTAACGTTTCAAAATTCCGACCAGCTTTTAATATTCCAAGTGGTTTGTTTGTTCAGAAAAAAAAAAGATAAGCCGATGTATGTTGATGCTACTAATCACTGTTGTAAAAGTAGTCTGTCCTACTGAAGTTTTTTCAGTTTTGGCGTATTCATTCGAACATAATATATAGTCAGGATATGGTAGGCGTCTGCATAGTTTTTTCTGAGATTATGTCCATATCTTGTACTTCGATGTGACGAACGATGCCGTGTCGAGTCAAGTGGCACATATGGATTAAATCGCCAATTAGGAACGGGAAGAGTTTATTTAAAGATCGAATTAGGCGCTAAAAGCAGGTTATCTAATCAATCAAATATCTGATCCATATGTAAAAATCTGGCGCATAATCCACAGACGACGACGCTCAGCAAATAATGTCAATTACCCGTATACATGTTCATTTTTCCGATTATATAATACTATTATAATTGACGGCCAAAGCCGAAACTGACACCGTCGTCGGGAGGATAGGTTAACAAACATGGACTTAATTAAATAAAACCTTTTGAAATATACCAAACTCAAATTAGCTCTTATTATATATGGTATGGACATGGTTGAATAAACTTGGAATTGTAATAGGTAATATTTACCGACGGCAGCTGCAGACAAGGACAATGTAATTTCGAAAAATTACTAGATTCAAACGCTTCGATTATTTTGAAAGGCAGTTTCTGAGTTAATTAGCGTTTTTTGTATTTTCATTTGCAATTAGCAGAAATTTAAAATTTGATCAAAAGAAGCGGGCCTTGTATGATCTGTTGTAAAAGATTATCCAAGCCTTTGACAATGGGGAGTCTGTGATAATGTCGAATAAATTAATGTATAAACGAAATTTGGATTTTAAAAAAAGTGTTCGCAAATCATTCTAACTAACATTTTGTTGATTATAAACATGTGGTGTGGTACTCGGAATATTATATGGCATGGTCAGGTCGTATTGATGAATTCTTAAACGATTTCGAGTGGCGTTTTCCTGGTCTGCTGAAACACTTGCTAGTGCGCCTGCCAAGCCTACTTTGGCACCTTTTTAGTTTATAGTCAGATATGGTTCTTTCCAGTGAATTCGAGATTTAAATTTTTTGTTGTTATTGGTAACACAGTATATCTCATAGATTGTAATAATATTGAGGCAATTCACAGTATAGTCGGTTGAAATTCTGAAATTCAAATTACTGGTAAGTGGTAGGTAGTATAAAGGTATTTCGTGAAGTCCTTACTATCTAACAATAATGGTAACTGTTCTCTGTTCTGTATAAAATAATTGATCTTAAAATTTACCTGGGTTATTAACATCTGTCATAGCATACAAACTGATTTGAATTTAAAGCTTAGGAATTATATTATGTGTGTGATAAAGAAATGTATTGTGATTTGCAATTATTCATGATTTATCTGAATAGTTATGTCGTGCCAAATAACAGACAAAAATTGTGTGTTCATTATAAAAATGGCACTATTATAGAAAACCTTGGGTCTTGGTCCATTTAAATACAGGTATATAAAATAACAGACTTATAGAGAAGGTAATTTGAACTTCAGGCAACTATCATCCGACTAGCCTTATGATGGAGCAGGATCTCCTATGACCTGGCGGATGAGTGTGTATATCTGAGTCGCAGAAGGTTTTGTTTAATTCTGCTTTACACTATATGTTTGAAAAGAGTAGAATGTTACACAAATTACCACCCACCCCCCAAAAAAAAATTGTGTGTTCTACCTTGTTAAAAACAATGTTCAATAATTTTATGTTCCATGTGCTCGGGTTATGTGAGTTTATAAATTTACTTGTTACATAATAAAACAGTATGCCAGAAACAACATTAGAATAAAGAGGTTGGAGTGCCCGTATTTGTTTCTAAAACTCATGACTGAAGTGTTTTGGACTTTGAAATGTCTGCAATGTCATTACATCATGAAATTCTAACAGCCCAGAAGTAATCCATGACCCACATTGAAAATATGACACTTTCATCATTATCATCTTAATTCTGTCATATTTAATACTTTTGCTTTTGATACAATGAGGTCTTATCAGAGACAATATGTCATTTTGAACATGAGATATTCAACAAAGTACAATTTCATCATGGCTTAATATTAGATGATTATAGTTGTGCTTGTGTATATATATTATTATTTTGATCAAAATACTGGCGTATATAAAGACGGCATATATCACGAACAGCATCAATTTGATTTCGGTACTCCCGTAGTGTGTGTACCAGGTTAGGGTTAAGCCATAATTTTATCCCGATTTTCCTTATTTTAGTTCTATTACGAGTTCGAGGACTGTCTGTGTTAGCCAAGTGAATATACCCCCTGCTCATAGGCTTCAGTCCATTTACACAACTTGATGTAAAGTAGGTGAACAAAATTAGTTACCTCCATATTGGTACTCACTTCTGGAGTGCCTTGATTTCTGTACACGGGTTACCAGTAATATCAATATTATATGGTATTCCATAGCTATTATTGATTTGCTGTTATTTCCTTTTTTCATTGCAACAGATTGCCTTTTTGTTATTTAATTTTACACTAATAAATTATAATAAATGCCGAAGTGTTTTGGTAGAAAATTTAAGACATGTGACATGGAATGTCTCTGCCTGACAAATAAGGTGAGATCATCTTAATATATTTGGGTTGAAATTAACTCATCCTGAGAATATTACATTTGCACACCTGTGAGAAAAAGTAGATGATAGATATTTAAAATATAGGAATCCTAGAGGACGGAAGGACTGGGAACTACTGCTATTTGGAATAAAACTCTAAATTGGTGTAAGCTTTAGAGAAGGATGGGATTAATCAAAATGGAGAATCTGTGAAAAGTAACCAATATATTTCGGTATTCATCTCAGAACAGGACTGGCATGTTTTGAAATTCCATGTAACCCAAACTCCAGCAGTTTACCTGTAGCAAAGGCTATTCACTAAAAAGATATTTCAATTGTTATTATAATAATGAGGCATTGTGAATTTGGATTATTAGCGCTGAGCCGCTGACTACTGCCAAATGTTTTTATCATTATTGTGATTAAAAGTATATTAGAGTTTATACAATAAATACGCTTTCTTCCATTGCACTTCTTTAAAAAAGCGCAAATTTAGAATCCATTTTTTCCTTATTCCTTTCTCACGCTTGAAATAGCAAATTAGATTTATCAATAGTCATGTTGTTCGTTTGCTTTGGTTGTGGTTTCTTCACACGTCTGTCTTGGCTTTATATATGTTGAATAATTTATTATTTAGTTCATTCTAGTCCCATCTGCATCAAATGAAACAAAAATATAATTTAGAACAATTATTTACATTTTTATTAAATTTATATTCTCTTGTATGTTAAGATTTATTTCTTAACCTTGATAATTAAAATTACTGACTATAGAAATTTGGATGATATGAACGCATTCGGTTTGCAACAAAATTCTGTTTTATGTAAAATTTCATGGCAAATAACACTGGAAAATAACACTTTTAATGATCTGAAATAAACTATCAATTTTGAATTGGTTTAATTTCAATTTGTGGGACATCCTTAATTCATCAATTTATTTTCATTAAAGTTAAATAAAAATATAGTTTATGCTAACCTGTATTTTCATCGCATCTCAAAGTTTATCATTGAATTTTCTCAGCTTTGACGAGGATTGCCATTCTAGGATAAAAAAAAATTCAAGAGTACATATATATTTGACATAAGTAAACATTTGCTATATTATTGTTAGTTTTTTGGAATATCAAAAGGCATCTATGGTAATTTTTGATACTTTTTTCAGAACCAGCATGCTGGCAGTGAATGTTCTTCACCAGAATATAAGGATGGGCAACGGCAGAGTTCAATTCAAACAAAACCTCTAATTGAACCAAATCAATATCATCAGCAACCATCTGAATTTTTCACTGAACGTTATCAAGTTAGTCTTTTGTTAATTTTCGAGTAACTTCAAACATAATATTGTGTATGTGATTGCAAATTACAAATAAGATTGACACAAGTTAGATTTTTTTTCAGTTTAAAATAATTGTGAGGATATTTATTTGAGGTAACAGTCAACCTGAGTGTTTTCTGAAACAGGATTCCCAATGACCTTTAACTTGTTTTATCTCAAATGTGGATTACTGCCAAGATTTTTGCAAAAAGAATTGTAATATTATGAAATACTCAGGATATCTGTTACAAATGAAAATAAATGTGCTTTGAAAGTATTGAAAGTTAATGTTCAACATAGGTATATTTTAAACTTCAATATTTGGCAAATTTTTTGGGTTAAATTCAGGCTTATGTGTGACTGTATTTCTGTGTGTGTGGTTGTCTGTCGCATTAATTGCTTGATATTATTGGAAATAGCTATAACTATTACTCACATGTGTTATTTACTTCTCTTTTTACTTACTAACTATCCTATTCTATCTTTTTTTCTCTTGCTTAATCCTCGCAAAACAGTTGGTATGCCCTAAATTACACCTTAGATATTGTCCAATATGTTTCCATCCCATCCCATATATCTGTCCCTCTCTCCATCATTGTGGAAGTAAAGACGCCTTATCCACCCTTCAATTATACCTTATCTGTTGCTGGCTTACTTCCTCCTCCTCAACAAGCAATTTTGAAAAAAATTCATATTTTAGTGATAACCCACTCTGCACCCTTAATGTTTCATCCCCCACTACAAGGGATTCTGTTTACTCTTTCAACTCAATTGCTTCTGATCATGGATTAGAAAACAGCCAGGTAGTTATGTGTGCATGTTGTCAGAATGTTACAAAATTTATTGATAAATTTTGCGATCACCCCCCAAATCAAAATGCTCATTTTAAACTTCCCAGCATAATAATGATACATGAAACACACTTCGTTTTGACAATCTAATCTTTATGTTCATATGCTGTTTCATTTTTTTCTCGGCTTCTCTTTGTCTAATAGTTACTTTTAATAAGTATTGCATTGAACAATAATTTTTTGGTAATGTTGAAGTCACTGAACAGATCTCAAAGAGCATGCTTCTTACTTTTATCATTTGAATAATTCCTGTTTTTTTTTCAAAATATTATAATAATGCTTCCATCGTTCCATGTAAATTACTTTTTGATGTTTATGTAAATAAGATTCTTAAACTAAATCAGTACCATGTAACTGTGTTTCGTCTCTTTCACTGACTGTTTTCTAATGCACTATCATTTTGATTAACATCTCTTTTTGCTTGACACATTTGTGTTATTTCTTTTGTTTATCAGTTTTCATTTTTTATTTTATTCCAACAGTTGACTTTTGCTGATGCTTTGTGTGAGTGAATGATGTGTAAAACAAAACTGCCTGGCTTGTTTTCAGAATCCAGTTTTCTTCATTTTTTTAATTCTTTTTAGCTTTTCAATATGATTTATGATATGAATTTGCATGCAATTGTGGATATTTATTGCAACAGCAATAAAATATATTTTACCAATTCCAATTTTCAAACTCATGATAATAATTATGCATTCTGACTTATCATGATTAGTGAAAACTGCTCGTAATTTGTATATTATTCTATGTAACAAACGGCATTGGTATATTATTATAATTACATTTTATGTCAAAGTATTATGGTACGTTTTATGATTTTTTTGGATATCAAATTGCCATCATGTAATACCAATGCTGCATGCAAATACATTTATTTTATAGCAGTCAAGATAACAGTTCGTATCTATTTTTAGAATGAATATCCTCAACAACCCCAAAGTTATGCGCTGGTATGTGAAATCCTTTACTTATTTTATAGAAAGTAAATGAAATATTCAAGGCTTGATTGATTGCTCAGCCATATGTTAATGGAATAATTACCGTAACTGCTCTTTTCCATTATGTCAGTCTACAAGCAATAAAATGAATAATAATAGTTAGACGGTGGGCACATGCATATCACTAAGGCTATACTTGTCAGTGTCACCACACCTTCGATGACTCTTCTCGGGATTACACGTTAAAATCCTATGGGAAAGAATATTTGTGCAAGAAATTTGCTGGACTTGATTTGATGTCCATGCAAAAATGACTATGACAGGAATATCTGGCTAGGTATTCTCATACCCGGTGGCGACATACTATGACAGGATAAAAATATAGTTTGCCATATTTATTGACTTGTCTCACTCATCAACTTTCCTCTCCCTATGATAATGAAACCCATCTGATGAGTAATATCTATTAAAGAATTTCCCCAAAAAACAGAACCACGTCATGTGTATATATTCTAGAGCAGTGGTTCCCAACCTTTTTCTCGGGCGACCCAAATTTTTTGGAAAATAAACTTTGTGGAATCGTGTGACCCAAGAATATGCTCAAATAGTCAGTATTTAGTCTTCTATGGTCACAAAATTAACTGACTAAACAACCATTTTTAAAAAAATTTATTTTACCAAAAAGTAAGTCAAAGTGGAAAAGCTGTGCTTGTTTGCCATAAACAAGTTTTAGAAATTGTGGCAGTACTCTACTTTAGCAAAACGCTGTGATGCTTCCCCATATATATTACAAACATACATTCCCCATATATGTTGGGAAACACTGTTCTAGTGAGAACATATCTTTTGTGCGATTGATATACGATATTATTATATTTCCGAAACTTTTTCACAGCCTTCTGCGGTTCCACAACAACAAAATATAGAAGATCTTGTTTATGTATATGACGACATTACATTGGAACGGGTAAGTGAATTGCCAATCAAATTGTTTCATTTCTGTCCGAATACGCGCCTGGAAGACTTAAAAGATTTTATACTTGTCGTTAACTTGTTATATAGTTTATGTTTTGTATACGTGTACCTTCAAAAAGTGTTAGAAGCATTTGTATATGATGGTGGTTCACTGGTTTAATATTTTTCAATCCATCCATTGAATCCCAGTACAAACAAATTTGCTATTGTAATTTTCAATCAGATAAATTAACTCTGTTAGTAATGACTGACAGTAACTCTGTTAGTAACAGACTGACATTCAAAGCATATTTCATGTCATGTTTTGAGTCATTTCTCAGGTTTGGCCTTTTTAATTTACCTCTATTGGTGCTGGTGATCAATTTTTGACTTAAATTATGTTAATAATAATATGTCATCATCGCTTTATGACATTTATTTCAGGGGACGACTGGTCTTGGATTTTCAATAGCTGGCGGAAAAGACAATCCGCTAGAGGGAGATGACACAAGTATATATATTACTAAAATTATTCCTGGTGGAGCTGCTGCTGAAGACAGAAGACTCAGGTTAGTAGCCTACATTGTTTAATGCACACCTGAATTTTAGATTGAGGCTCTGCGGTTAATGCATAGAATATGCTTTCCATCACACCTCTGATTACTCTGCATGAGTTTGTAGGTTTGAGTTCTGTGGAGGAAAATTATGTGCTAAAGGATTGCTTGTAGGGTGGTTTACAGAACCTCTGATTGGTTATGGCTTTTTCCACCATCAAGTCCATGCATTTGAAACAAATAACTGGCTATCTCATTCCATACCCGACATTGACTGGTATCCGAACCATAGGCTATGCCGCATGATTGAGCTGTTTTATTGGCTCTTCTCTCCAGTACAAATATGAAAATTCTATATTTTAAAATTCTGTTAGTAATTTATTTTGATGATATAAATACAAGATGATATTACATTATGTATCAATTCCTCATAAATCTTGATTTTACAGGCCAATTTACAGTCAAATCAGTAATTTCATTCATCTGAATTCTACAGTTTTGTAATTAATAACTTCATTTCAATTACACTCTTAAAAACAATTATCTATCAAATCTGTGTGCTGAAGATTTTATTTCTCATTGCAGGATAAACGATGCAATTCTATCAGTAAACAACGTTGATACGATAGATGTTTGTCATGCGGAAGCCGTTCATGCACTTAAAATGGCTGGATCAACAGTGAGGTATGACGGATATAGAGCGCTGGCATTTAAAGTGGAGGTGGTGGTCATCTCGACGGTGTGACACATCATGTTAACTGTTGGGAATACGCTGGCCACCACCACCACAACTCTGATTACCCTGCGTGGGTTCGCAGTTTCGAATCTCATGTGGGGATAGTTATGTGCGGGAGGATTGTTGAAGGGTGGTTCACGTAACTGCTGGTCGATTACGGCTTCCTCCTCCATACTTTCAAAAACAAATAACTGGCTTACTAATCCCACACCCAACATGGACTGGTAATTGGACAAAAGGCCGTGATTCGGTGTATGATTGAGCCACCTTATCGGCTTTCCTCTCTCCCAAGATAAATATGTAAAATCCTATCCTGCCCTAAAGTGTTTAAGAGGTAACTATGTTGTCATCACAGATCACACATCTCATTTAAATCCCATGCTCCTACCTCATTACTCCTGGGAGCGTCCCTAACTTACCCAGGGTCTCGACTCATGTACTTATCATAATTGCATGTTGCCTAGGTCAAAGTTTATCTTAATATTCTGACTGTCTTTTGCTATAACTGCTGCACATTATGATCTTTTTCATTGGTATTGGCAATTCAATTTAGATTAAAAATTCGAAGAATACCGAATCAACAACCATTTATATTTGAAGAACCTGATATTCCCTTAATGGATAGTTGGATTGAGATCAAATTAACAAAAGGAACAAAAGGTAGAATTATCTTTTGATAATAAATGTAGCCGACAGACAGTTAATTAAGTCGTTTTCTTGTTTCTATTCCAGGTCTTGGGTTCAGTATCGCCGGTGGCGTTGGAAACCAACATATCCCAGGTGATAACGGAATCTACGTCACTAAAATTATAGAAGGTGGAGCTGCGGAAGCTGATGGTTGTTTGCAAGTTGGTGATAAGATTGTTGCGGTGAGATTTTAATCTTATCTTTATCTAATCCAGGGGTGTGCAACCTGCGGCCCGCTGGCCAAATGCGATCCGAAAGGTAAAATTGTACGTGTTTTGAATGACACCACGAAACATGTTTTTAAATTAGTTTGATCTGGTACGTGCGGTTAATTCCAATCCTGTTGCGTTGTGAAGTCCATACCTGAGTCCAATTCATTATCTATGCCTATGAAGTTACAATGCCCTAACAGGTGGCTTGTGTGAAGCAAACAACGCTTGTCATAACATCAATAACCAAAATTATTGTGCCTGCAACTACTAGAAAGCCTATGGTAAATAAAAGTGCGGCCCACAGTTTCACCCAGTTATTTGTATCTTGCCCTTCTGTATTAAAGGTTACACACAGTGTTAACTCTAAGCAAATTATGAGTGCGAAAGTGTTTCGCAGTCGAAAAAAAAAGTGCGAAAGTGCTTTTGCCGATTTTAACAAGTTAGGTGCCCTAGCCTTTCATATAACCCATTTAAAACGGCATAGATACTCGAAAAAGCGCTTTATAAATTAAGGAGGAGCCTTTTCGTTAACCCAGTTCCCTTTAAGCGAATTCATGTTTAATTAAAACAAGCGAATTCATCGCAACGAAATGACATCTGCTAACACCTGCCGCGGACAAAACTTTCATGCAATGTATCACAGTGTCCTTACTCGCGTAAACAGCAAAGACTTTCACACTTGTTACTCCTTCCATCTAACAGACACGAGGCAGGCTGGAAACCATATTAGTTACAGGGTGGATCGTTTGTACAAATCCCGTGCAAAATAATCCCCGCAACCCCTCCCCCCAAATATAAGTAGCAATCAACTAATTAGGGTTAGGTGCGCTGGAAATTCAACTTTTCGATTTATCCCTAAACCTAATCTGATAATTATTAATTTGTGATTTTGAACCACTTTGAAAGTCGCCACCCGCTGTTTTAAAAGATAAGTTAACCTACGTTCCCTCCGAAATATTACACACGATACTCCCCTGCTTTAGGAGATAGGTTGACCTACTTTCCTTTCAAACTTTTTACTCCGAAATATTACACAACATCACTTTGAAAATCCTCCCGTTTCGTGAGCTAGCGTGACCTAATTTCTCATTTACATTTATATTATACTATTTCAGAGCTTACCCAAAGACAAGTAATTTTTAAATGTCGACATGCCTTGGTTTGCGTGCGAGTTAGTTTAAATCGGGCAGAAAACATCATATATTGGCAAAATGTTTAGTAATGTCATGTACTTTCAGCATTCATAAATAGCACTCTTTGATATCCTGAACGCTGATATCCTGAAAATTAATGTTGAAAGAGAATTACGCATTCTCAGATATCGGACATCCAGTCGCGATATTCAATCGTTCATATGCACAAATCTCACATTAATAGTAATTGCTACCCAAGTTTGTAAAGTTTAGAAACCAACAAACAGAAAATAACTTATCCTAAAACACAATTAAAATTCAGTCGGCAATAAATTCGTCGCCACGACGATGCCATACAAAACAAAAAAGATTTGGTCGCGAGATTTACGTGAGATGACTGCCGTTGTTTTTTAAGCAGAATGTAAAAAAAATTATAATTAATAAACGGGAGTTACGACGCCCTTTACACATCGTGTGTATTAAACTTCCCTGGTAAGTACTATTATTATTGTACCTATACACCTGTTGGAGTATTTCGGACAATTTCGAATTTAAAATAAATGAAAACCCGACATATAATAAAGACGCAAAAGTAAAATGAACATTTATTGAAAAAGTTATTATTTAAGAAAGACAACATGATCGTACAATTCCGCCAAAACCTCGATGTTCGCTAGTGAGATGATAAATAAATACTTCTCTGTATTCGATCAATTAACTTTAGCGTATCGTTGTTCTGCCAACAAACAGCCGGGTGCAAAATATTTCCGTCCTGTGATATGCTCACAAATATTCTCGATATTAATATCATACCCTCGCGTATGTACTTTATATTAGCTTTTTAGGAATCCCTTCCATCCTTGGCCGGGTCATGTTTCGAATATGTGAACATTTTATTCGACCATACATGGCCGGCGGGATGTTAAAATTGTAAACAAGAGAAAGGTAAAATCAATCGCGAATTTCCTTATAACGGTTCGTTTACGAATTGTTGCGCCTGTTATCGTCGAAAATGATTACATTTGTTGTATTTTGAGGCATTTAAGCAGTAATAATTACGGCATGACATCATCAAAATCGTCAAGTGAGATCTTGAAATTGCAAATTCCTTAAATAAAATTGTGAATTATTCGGTAACGAATTCAGTTTTAATGACCGTCGGGGCTTTGTTTTGTTGAAAATTATTATAAATGTGAGAGCGCCAAAACATACAGTCCATACCGATGCGACTGCAATTTATATGGTCGCAATTGGTGTGGCTCGTTTATTAATAGTGTAAAATAAATTAAACGAATATCAATTATAACCAAGCCTGTCAGCGTGTTTATTTTCTGTGGGCCGGAATCGTGAAATACCATCTTGAGACAAATTCACTTCTATTATAAAACCTTAATTTTCAGTTATTATCGTTATACAAATAACGTGTGGCAACTTTTTAATTTATCGTCGACCAAAAAACCACCCCACACTCGTCCAAACGTGTGTCGAGCTTGAACGACAGGAACAGATTCATCGACGATCTTAATTAGGGAAAATATGTATTTTATTGGGAATGCAAAATAAATGTACCAAAACGCATTTTTTTGTGATATAACTTTGTATTTTCGGAAACGGGTTGCCGTGAAAGGTAAAATTTGATCTAAATTAATCGCAAATATGTTTTATTTTAAATGTAACAAAACACATTTTGCGATATAACCTTGTATTTTCGAAAACGGGTGTCCTGAAAAGTAAATTATGATCTAAATTAATCGCAAAAATGTTTTATTTTAAATGTAACAAAACACATTTTCGCCATATAACTTTGTATTTTCGGAAACGGGTGTCGTGAAAAGTAAAATATGATCTAAATTAATCCCAAAAATGTTTTATTTTAAATGTAACAAAACACATTTTTCGAGATACAACTGTATTTTCGGATACCGGGTGTAATTTTTTACGATATAACTTTGTATTTTCGAAAACGGGGCGTCACGAAAATTATTAATCTAATGTTTTATCTATCGTCTAACTAACGTCTGGAACACATCATTTTCGGGGAGAACTCTAGCCCGCGAAACGTCATTTAATTTAAAATAGAGAATGTTTCACGCATTTTAAAACGGAAAATCACCAGTAAGTGGACAGGGATTCAACCCTCCCCATTCAGTATTCTATATCCCCCGTGTCAGAACTTTCTAAAGAATGGAACAAAGAACCCGTCAAACCGCCGCGGAAGAAGGGGAGTATTTTTTGCACTAATAATTAGGGCGTGACAATATCAAAATTGTCAAGAAACTGGTGAATTTGCAAATTCCATAAATAAAATTGTGAATTGCTCGGTAACATTTCAGCTAAAATTATCGCCGGGGTATTGTTTTGTTGAAAACACGTTGAAACTTGAGGGAATTAGTTACAATTAGCGCCTGACCTCTATTAGGCACTCGAGCACTCGAAAAAAAAAGCACCCGAGCCCAATTTTTTTAGCATTAAGTCGCATACGTAAAATATCCTGTAAAAGAAGGGCTGTTCATTAACGTCATCTCGTCTTATGACCACGCAGAAATGCCTTTATAGCCGAATTATTCAATCACTATTTCAAATCAATATAGATATAGGCGGGAATATAGATTACCCAAAACCTAGATATCGCCACCAAAACGATCGGTGACAAGAACAATTAGCGATTATAACGGAATTAACCAGTAAAAAGGCTTTGTTGCCGATTTTTTAATGTTTCCACCACGTTTATTCGGTACTCCTATAAATATTCGATTCAAAAAATATTGAATTTTGCCCACCCGTCCTCGCATATCAATGAGAAATAGTTGTGTAAATATCGCCAAATTCCGGAAAATGCCACGTCCTTTCAACATTGTGATTACAATAAAATGGCACTTAATGGTATTTTGTGAATTTGTTGATTTTGCAAATCTGTGACATGCTGCTAAAAGTTTCGTCTGATTTGAAAATCGTGCAGTTTGGTCACAATTCATCCAAAGTGACTATAACACGTTACTAACACTTTTATAGTCATTTTGAATTCATCGATATCATTGATAGTCACATGACCACTCTCCTTCAAAGAAACGCCCGGGGAGCGTTTTTTGCGGGAGAAGCGGAATCAGTGCTTGTATAATAATCATATTATAAACAAGAATTTTGCCGTTAATGCAAAAGCTTTATCTCCTATGTCTGCATCTCATAGGTTAGAATTCCGGTAAATATCGTTATGATATGCAGAATTGAGTTACAAAAGTACTAGTATGTTACTCATTTGTCAACTTAATACTCGAAAATATTTGTTAACTTTGAATTTTTAATCCATTCAAAATCGGAAAAAAGTGCTATTTCTCTTCAAAATCGGAAAAAAGTGCTATTTCGCAGTCCCTAAAAAAAGTTGCGAAAGTGCTTCGCAATTTTCGCAAAAAAGTGCGCTAATAGTGAACACTGGTTACACACCCCTGGTCTAATCTAACACGTTAATTTTTTAATTGCTTCTACAAAACTGAAAGAAATTTATTTGCCACCTGAATTTATGTTTGTGAATTATGATTGTACTTCAAAGTTTCAGTGATTTAGGAGGCTTTGCTCAAAAATTAAGTTGTTTTTATAAAATGTTCAAAATTACGTGGGTTTTGTAAATTGTTTTTTTGGGTCACCTTGTATATAGATAGCTTCTGTAGCTCTCAGCAGTTTAGTCAGTAGTCAGTATCATTTCCCTGGTGAGAAGCCTTATTATTTCTGTGTGAGCATGGGCACCTTACTTTAAACCAGGGCTCTTCAATCTTTTTGTTATTGTGGAACCCCTGATATAATTTTTGGGATTTTATGGAACCCCAATTAACAAACTTAAAATAAAACACGAAATACTCGTAACACAAAATATTTGTAATTCATATATTTCTACTTTAACAACGAAACAGAAAGAAGGTAACAAGCGTGAAATTCAATGACTGGGTGGTTCTTGCATTTCTTTTGCAATCTTCTTGAATTCTTATACTCGTGTCTACACTCTTCAAACAACTTCGCAACGACGCATCAACATGCTGAAGCAAGAAATGATTCCCCCTAAAAAATACGTGGAATCCCCTAGAAACCCTATAAACTGACGGAACCCCACTGCATGTATTGCGGAACTCTAGGGTTCCGCAGAACCCCTGTTGAAGAGCACTGCTTTAAACAAATTCTCATAAAAATTCCCATATCAAAAGTAAAACTATATTTCATGTTCCAATTGTTCAAATTTGCTTCCATTTTTTAGGTTGATGGAATTTCACTTTTTGAGGAATCTCACGAAACAGCGGTTGCTATTTTAAAATCAACTCAAGACATTGTTAATTTAAGAATATTGCGGAAAACAGCCAGTCCTATTCAACTCATGCCTCATAACGTTGTTAACTTGCCCACTGAAGTACAACACAACCGATCACACAGACATCAAGAAGATTTGAGATATCAGGGTGATCAACAAAACACACCAAGGTATATTATTTCTACTCTGTACTTTCCATATTGTAATAACTGAATTTATAATAATTTGGTCAGTTGTTTTATCATGATCAGTGATATAAGAATATGTCCATTGAATTTTACTCCAAGAGAGCGATGTTGTAATATAGGGACACAAAGGTCACCACAATGTCAGCAATATTCCTGGCAAATGTTAGAAGAATTGTACCGAATCTTGTATGGAGGGGCCCATTAGTCATGAAAAATGGGGATTGTAAAATAACACTAAAATATGGGGATAAATGCTGGGAAGGTCTCTTGAGCAAATTAAAAAAAAATATATAAGTACCTACCTTCTACCTTAAAAGTGTTGAATTAACAATTTGAATTAATTACCGGTAACTACAATCACTTTCTTTCCAAGGTACGAAAACCAGGTCCCTCAATATCAACACGAACAACAAGATCATCAGCAATTTGATTCATTATACCCAACGCCAACAAAACAACACCAATATACTGATCATATTTTAAACAACAATCCACATAATGAAATGATGGGAGAGAGAAATACTTTTATAAAACCTTTGCAACATGCAGTACAACTTTCTGAAAGTATGTTTATTTGGTTTTATATAAAAATATCTTCGAATGGACTATTGTTGAAGCTCATATTTTAGTACTTCCATAGTGTTAGTACCAGGTTAGGGTTAGGCCATAATTTTAGGCCGATTTTCCTTATTTTACTTCTAATTCGAGTTTGGGGACTGTCTGTGTTAGCCAAGTGAATATAACCCCTGCCCATAAGCTTTTGTCCCTTCACACAACTTGATGTAAAGTAGATGAAAAAAATTTGTTACTTCCATAGTAGTGCACACACTTCTGGAGCTCGTTTAGTCTAAAATTTAGAATATCTAAAGCTGGAAAAAATTAGTATAATCAAAATTACTATTCGCTTTGAAACATTCTATTTGGATCGTAGTATTATGATTCATATATAATTTCAAGGAAATTGGTGTCTTTTATCATCTACTTAATGGGGCAAGAAGCATTTTTTCTTTGGGGTGGCAAATAATGGAGAGTGCCCAAAAGGTGGTGCCCACCAGCCATGATTGCCACCTTTTGGGCACTCTCCATTATTTGCCACCCCAAAGAAAAAAATGCACCTTGCCCATGTTGAAGATATATGCATCTTTGTTTATATAGTAAATTTCCTCAGTCCAATAAGCACTTTCTGCTAGTATTGACACAATGTTTACTCATTTTAGACGAAAACAATACGTACAATGCAGTATATCACAGGAATGGAAATATTGTTGATGAAAATGAAAGTTTATTGCAAATCAATGCTGGCTTTGTTGATCCTGACTCAGATGTGACTAGGTAAGAAAATTGGAAAATAATGTTGTCACTCAAGATTCACTTTGAATAATGCAAATGTAATTGGGGTATCAGACAGGAATCAGTTCGCACTGCAGTATTCAAAGTCAAAAAGATGAATAATAATTCCACAATGCTCGAGTATTTATCTTCATTATAGATAAGATATAATATTTAGTATCGGGAAAAAGTATGATTTCTTTGCCAGGGATGGCCAAAACCGAATAATTTACCATTCCGAGATTTGCAGAAATAATCGCAGCAATGAAGTTTGATATGCAGAACAGCTATCGCTTTATTTGATTTTCCATTTTTTAACCAGAATTTCAATGAAGAAAACTTTTTATCACTAGATTTTTGAATAAATATAGTCTGAACTATTTTAAGTTTACAATTTTGAATATACACAATTTTGAAGTTCTCTGGATATTTGATTGCGTTCATATTGGACACCAACATATATGATACAAATTATATCTGATCGTGTTTCTGTGCTGTAATTGGTAGTCTATGCATCTGAAACAAATAACTAATTAACTATTCCCATGCTCAACATACATTGGTAACCGAACGACAAGTCGTGGTTCGGCATATGATTACACTGTCTAATTGGTTTTCCTATGTCTGATAACATTAAAATTAGATATACACGACTTAATTGAGTTATTCATTATTACTACCATCACAACCAGAGGTGTCGAATCGAATACATCTGAAACTAGTTTTAATGAAATTCTTTTTGGGAACTATTTGGAATACAGTATTCCTATCTTGAAATACCCTATTTCCCGGCGAATAATTCTACCTGGTAAATAAGAAGAGGCCTGTAAAAATGGGTTTTTGCATATAACCTGCCAATAAGTTGAGGTAGTAAAATCGCATCAACATCGGAATCTCAAATTATCATGCAATGCCTTTTAAGCGGTCTGTTTGTGCATTGGTTAAAATATCATATAATGACGTTTTTTTTCAGCGTAATATTCGATTCATAATAACTACGAAAATTCAAACTGTCTTTCAATTTCAATCTAATTGTGTTCAACTCGCGATTGCGTCTACCATAATAGAACCTTACCTAATACATAATAAGGCGACACCAAAAAAATGAAAATTATTATACTTGGTAAATAAGACGACCCCCCCCCCCCCCAAAAAAAAAATCAGGCCAAAATTTGGGTCTAGAAAAGCAACTTATTCCCCGGGGAATATGGTAAGTCTTATTTCTGATAGAAGTTTCATAGGGCAAAATCAATACAACAACGTTTCGTAACTATGTCCTGCAATATTGTATTTTTATGAATACATGTTGATTTATGCAAGTGTTTATTTTTAACAATTTGATTTTGCTTATTCAAAACTATTTTCCAGAATGTATTCAGAAATCAGAACAGTAAATTTTTCAATGTGAGCCATCCCTGATCACGACATCGCTTCAGACTTTGTGAAACTTTTTTTTGTCAGGGAATCAAGGAAAGTGACATTAAACAAAGCATCTACTGGACTTGGATTCAATATAGTTGGTGGAGAAGAGAACGAGGGAATATTCATCTCATGTATTCATCCTGGTGGTATTGCTGATAATAGCGGACAATTGTATAGAGGAGATAGAATATTTTCTGTGAGTTTCATTTAATTTAATGATTAAAGAGTTACTATATTATGATGACATCACAGATTAATTCTCGAGTTCAAATCTCCTGCCTACCGGCCACCACCTTGCCAAGGGTGTAATAAATTGGGTAGCCCAGTGGTTTCCAAACTATTTGTTTGTACGGCACCAAGGTATTGTGGAAAAAACTCATGCATGCTTACACGAGAAAAAAAAAATTGCTGCCTTTGAATAAAACTCAATTTCAGCAGATAAATAAACTGTAGTGTCTATCTCTATTGTTATGTAACAATAGATGCAGGCACTACGTAGCAGAAAGTAAATGACATAGAAAGATAAAAATGAATTTATTGTTTCATATGCACATCATTTAAATTAAGATACAATGAAAAATTTATGTTTAGTGAAATACGTAAAATAATCAATAATATTTTAGTCATGTTTAATACAATTCTGTTAATTTTCATTGCACACTTGGCAAATTTGGGAACCAGAATATAAATTAGTCTCAAAACAGATTTTTACAATACTTTCAAAAAATTATTTTTTGAATCTCCTCAAATTAGGAATTCATTATTCCCACTCCTCACACAGCATTGATGATTTAGTCCAGGGGTGTGCAAACTGCGGCCCGCGTGCCAAATGCGGCCCGCAAGAAGAAGTTGTGCGGCCCACGGAGAAATAACAATTTCGAATGGTGTACCCGCAAAACGAGTATTTATTCTTTTTCGTCGCAAAGCCCATACCAGTCATATTAGCAAAACAAGCTTGCAAAATACACGATTTATATTACAAAAACGTGTTTCTCACTGCATTCGTTTGAAGTCGGTGTGACAAAAAATTTAAATAGCAGTTTCTTCAGAAGTTTATGCGTTTTAAATCTACTATTTCTGCAAGAACCCCTAATAATGCCGTGAGATCAATAGCAAATATAGGCAATTTTTGTGCTTGCAACTACCAGAAAGCCTAAATTAAATAAAGGTGCGGCCCGCGGCTTCACCCAGTTACTTGTAATTGGCCCGCCAATAAAAAAGGTTGCACACCCCTGATTTAGTCTATGCATCAAATCACAGTTACTATTCTTCTAAATCTAGTAGTTATTTTTTTGCATATTTGTAGATTTCGCGATATTTTATGAAAAATTTGGTACTCAACTGCGACTATATTTTTCATTCATTACGTCTGGTGTAGATTCATTTCTCTATATTACGTTGAGTGCTTTGTCTTGTAGAAACACTTTGTAGTGATAGATTTTTGTGTTTAGAGAAATTTCAATCAATAACATAAATCGATGGAAATAATAGATAAATAAATAAGTCATGCGTCTGCTTTTGTTGAAAAAAAATCATTATTTTAGAAATGTCTCTAGCGAATTTGTCTAAAATGAATCGAATATTGGAATAAACTCAAAATGATTTTAAGAATATTCATTTACAGAATGTTAAATTGAGCTAGTAATGTCTGGTGACGAAAATAGACTCCATTTCACTTCTGATTGCGCAAAATCATTGAAAATCAAAGCGGCATTGGTGTGTTCTGACAAAATCCAATATGTATGAATTTACAATTGTTTGTCCAAATTTCGGGGATGAACACATAATTGAGAATAAATTTAAAATTTCATTTTTAAAAACCTATTTCCGAATCTATTTTTGATAATAAGTTTATGATTCGGCCATATGTGATCAGTATTCGAAATATTTAATATACATGTACGAGTATGTGCACATGCAAACGTTAGGACTGTGATGTCCATTAGTGATCATGTAATATTCAGTCATTATTCCAAATATGGTTGTGTGAATTTTATGCACAAACTTTTTTATTATATACAACTGATAAAATGAAGATTTAAAAAAACTTAAATGCTCTCAAGCAAGGTCATGAGTACACACTCAGAAATTCAGGAGATTATTCATTCAGAGAAGTTACGATTGATCACTAAAATCCCAAGAACTACTGAAACTATAGAAAATTGGGTACTCCCGTAGTATGTGTACCAGGTAGGGGTTAGGCCATATTTTTGTTTTGATTTTTCTTATTTTATTTCTATTACGAGTTCCGGAATTGTCTGTGTTAGACAAGTGAATATCCCTCCTACTCATAGGTTTGAGTCCCTTTACACAACTTGATGTAAAATATGCAAACAAAATTAGTTGCCTTCATATTGGTAGACATTCTTCTAGAGCGCCGAATTGTGTGTTAGTAAATAGTGATTGACACAAGGCTTATAGTAGTTTACAACAACACAATCTGGGAAACGGCTATGTGGTAGTGGTTTCCACATAACTGAAGTTATTGGTTATTGTTTGGGTAGATTCGCTTTATTTTTATATGTGGCAGTCGTGACAAATTTTATGGAGTAGTTTTTATAATTCCAATATAATCTGATGATCTGTTTATATTTATAATTGGTTTTTCTAATTCCTAGGTGAATGATGTTGATCTTTCTCTTGCTACTCACGAAGAAGCTGTAGCAGCATTGAAGTCATCAGGAAACAATGTCACTATAGTTGTTCAATTCAGACCTGAAGGTTTTTATAGAATTTTTTTTTTTTTCTTGATTGATGATTTAACATCATGAAAAATGCTGATAAATTGAATAAATAAGGTTGCTTCATTGCAATAAAGTTGTTATGCCAAGGATTTACATGAAAAAGGTGTAGGGTGGGGTAATGATGAACTGTTTGTCAATCTTCCAATGGTGTAATGTAACATACTACTTCATTCAGGCATATGGGGTTTGCCTCATTGAGACAAAAAAGGGTGAATCCTATGAAAAAATGTATATATCAAATATGTAGACACGAGACTGGGCTGGATAAGTTTATCGTGTTTAGTATTAAAATCATGTTATAACATAGATGAATTAATCACATATTGGATATTCTGATTCTATTGGTTGATTGTGTTTAATCTTAGATATAGGTTAACATTTTTATAAATTGACTATATGCATTATACGTTGAAGACGTTACTCATTGTAACGAAGCCTGTGGTTATTAGTAAGTAGGAGGCCGATTTTTAACTTCGCACTTATCTAATATCTATTAAATATATCATTTATATCAAATTTTAAAAGTTATGAATTTCAAATATATAAAATTATTTGGTGGACCACGTTTCGGACCCTAAAATCCCGGGAATTGCAGTTTTTTTTTTTTATTGAAAATTAGATTTGGTAATTGTTTCATCATTTTTATGATTATAATCAACTTGTATATGGTGGGCATATATCAGTTTCTTCTGCTTGTGAGAAATTTTTTCATCAGAATTTTTATAGTGTATTACACTGTTTATTATTTATTATATCATTGTCTCAAAGACAAAGAGTAGCAAGATTTGATAAATATTCAAATACATGCTCTAGAACCTAATATTTGAATATATAATTTGGAACAATATACTTATGAGACATAAAAGTGGAAGCAAAGTATTTTTAGTCAAATTTGAATCCAATATTCGAAGGGATGAACTTCAATTGTATGCTTCAGGACTAATAATGTAAAATGCTGTGAAATTAGGATGATATATTCAAAATATGCTTATGCTCTGCTATAAAAGGCAGAACAAATTGCTGCTGTGTATCTTATGATGTGCCATGTAAATTTAAAAAAAATATGTTAAATGCATGTGCTTTAATATTTATCCATGGAATTTCCCATCCGTGCCTGTGAAATGCATTGATAGACTATACTATATATGGCTATTTCATCTTCAATCAATTTGCATCATTCATTGTACTTTATTAGCTGAAACGTTGCGTGAATACCTGTATACAGTCAGATACTTACTTCGTCCCCCGCTATTTGTCATACAATGCATGACGTATTATATCAAGTCTTGTAGAGTCAGTAATGCCAAATGATAATCGTGTTTTATTGTGATTATTTTATATTTTGAACCTTCTTTTCATTCCTTCATATTACTATGGCTGTTTTGTCCTCTTCCCCGGGATAAATATGTAAATCCTATCTTGTCCTTATCATCTTCGGCAGTCCTTAGCCTTTGGCGGGTCTCATGCTAAACGTTGAGAATATCTAAATACCGCACCGCTGATTGTCTCGCATGCACTTCTTCGCAGTTTGGTAACCCGTGGGTGGATTATGAGCGGAAATATCGCTAGGCTTCCGCTAACCATTGTTCCATTTGAAGCATTTATTAACTGCTTAGTTTATACCATGCCTGTCCTATAAAAACTGATGACAGAAAACATGAAATCGTGGTCAACTATAGAATGAATATTCATTGCTTAAATTGAAGTGAAGCTACAATTATTGTCTTGATATCTCGAAAAACATTCGCCAATGATAATCCGTCATTGAATTAGCAGACAAATGAGCTTTCCGGATAAGGGAACTGGATCACCTGACTACTCTGATCGCTTGCCACAACGATAGACGGTGCGCCGTTGTTCGCTATTTGAACATTCATTCATGCCCATCTTTCCGGCATAACATTCATGCTTACCTTCACCTTTCTGGCATTAATATGATGTCATTTTATCCTATTCAAAACTGTGTCCTATGCAAAATAAATACCAAGTTCTCGTAAAGACAGCTAGAAATGGCAATATTAATTTTTTATAGGATATATTTTCCCCAATCGGTTGCCGAAACCACTTTTCATGAGGGCTCACAGGTATAGGATTTTCATATATACTAATTACCGTAGCGAGGAAAAATCATATGACGAAACATGGTCACGCGTTCGATTACAAACTATTTCAGGTCGGATACTGGAATTTTTTGTGTTTCGATAAGAAAATATTAAAATATTTTACTAAACGCTTGTTTTCATACTTATTATTTTTTTACCTGTCATGGTACGAAAATATATCAACAATGGAGAAAATATGTGAGCTCATCCTGTTATGTCGCTTATATTGTTTTGCGTGATAAATATAGTACTTTGCCACGTTTTTTTTTTGATTGAATTTGTTTCATTCATTTTTACACTAAATGTTTTTGGTGGTTTAGAATGTTTATGTTCGGAAATAGTCAACTCCACCAACGCTGACATACCGGATTCAAGGGTAGGTGAAAATAGGAATGATTATAGACTGCGTTAATAAAAAATTTGAAAAATTTTCAAGATTATTTACCTTTTTTAGTCGATGTGTTCGTTTGTATTTGGTGGTCGATATATGTATGTAGAATGTAGTGAATAGTGATGGTTTTGCACCTTAACATTTTCGCAGGTAAAAAAAAGGTATGGAAAATTGGAGAACAGCAGTACGCCTATGTTTCGCAATAAACAATATTCGCACTCAGAAACCTTTTATGAAAAGTCGAAATTGTTCAAGTATCGAAGACCGGTGTAGGTATAACTCCATCCTGAAAACAAAGTTGATTAATATTCATACGCTTAGATTAATCTTACCCAATATCGTTATAAAGGCATCGCTTCTAATGGTGATCGATTTGTAGTATATTAGTTTATAATGTATAATGACTGGCAGCCGTCTTATTCAGTTTTCACATTCCTAATTCATGTTGGAGGCTTTAAAGCGCTACTTTCCCACGTTTATCAGTCAGGATTTTACGTCATCTCTCGTCTTCGATAACATAACCCGTGTAAATTGTCCTATATGTCAATTTATTGACGTCTGGAGTTCAGAACTGCTTATGAATCTCAATTTTTAAATTTTATTTTCTTTGGGTCATGTATGATTGAGATTTCCAATAAACGTGCGCTTGTTTCGATGCTACGTTTATACGTCACGCCAAATGTCGTATGCTGAAATCCGTTTTTATTTTTAACTTATATGCAAACATTTTCGACTGATGACGTCACATTTTGTCGTGAATTCTTCAATGATATAAAAGTTGCAAAAGGCGGACGTTTCGAAACGAAACGGCTTTATGTCATCTCTTTCCATTCATATTTATTATTTTGGATTTCCTTGCTCGGAAATTCAAATCAAGCACTAGGTGTAAGAATTTCTTGTAGATATTCGTTATTATTTCATCAGGAATATTTGCATTACTAACTTCACGTCAGAGTTTAAAATACTCAGGTTTGTGCAGTCAAAAATTTGGGGCTGCATTTTGAAATGTTGTAATTTATACATAATATCCAAGAATGAAGTATTTTTTATATCTATGTGTTTATCTAATATAGAAAACGTTCATTTGGGGTATGCATTTCCCATGTGAATTTGTATAGCTGGATTGTAATATGCTGTGATAAAATCGAAGACAAGAATGTTTAGGCCGGATTTAATCCCGATATAAAATCGTTCCTTGTTATCTGGCCATTCTTAATCTGGTTTCTCTATAATCAAATTTGTAAATCTTGAGGGATTTGTGCGATTGATAATCACGCGATCAAAAGAATACATAGGATTTGCAGATTTCCCGCGGAGCTTTCATGTTCCAGCGAAATCAACGTGACGTGCGTATTTTAATCCTACGCTGTAACGTCATTTCGTTTCACGCACAGCTTCCTCGATTGTTATTCTATTCATTGCTAATTAATCAGCGGGAGGCTACAGTCTGCTTAGATCAAAGCGTAGATTCGCATGATGAAAAAGGCGTTTTGTTTTTGTTTAGCTGCAGCCGAGTTGATTGTTCGTATTGTGTCTGTCAATTAGTCATTGATGTCTGCATCAGAGGTAGTTTTTATCGTGGTGTGGATGTACATAGATTGCATATAAGATATACCAGATGACAGACATCGACCTTTAATAGCAATTTTGCGTCCAGACAGGGTAAACTTTTGTACACTATATTTTGCGAGATATGATAATATTAAAATAAAATACGTGCTTTTATTTAAATCATATTGATAGTTAGTGTAAACGCATGCTAAGGTAGGAAGGACATCGTGCCAGTAATGCCACAGTAGAGTTAGACTATTTTATATAATTATCCATTAGTCCAATAATTAGGTTTACAGATATTGTCAGCGAAAGGTAAACAACTTTTGAATTGTTAGTTATCGATAGTATTCAGGCCACTGTAATTTTTGAATGAACCTGATCGCTAACGTATTTTGATATTGTTCGTTGCAGTATTGCAACCCACTGTGCACACGTCATTTGGGAATTTCCAAATCCCACATCAGAATTTTAAAATTCGCACATACTATATTCTGGCCATTGATAAGCTTTGCCTCCAAAACGCCATTTATCTATGGCAAGACATCACGACCCGCTGTCGACTGTCTTATAAACCCTGAACTCTTTGCAATGGCATATTATTATTAGATTTGAAATAATATCAAGTCTGTATATTGATGGTGTGTCATTCGACGTTTGAATGTCACCGTCGTCATTCATTGATGCAATGACCCGTAATAGCCTGTTAGGATGTTCTATCATTAGAATTTAATATTCATCAATGAAAAATTTGCAAAATATTATGTTCATTTCAAAATTGATAATTAGATTGAATAGTAGTTATGCTGTTTTTATTGATAGTAGTATCGGTGGTAGTTTTTCAAATATGCGAAGACACAATTGTTTTATAGAGAAACAACCAACAGCTTAAGACATTCACTGGTAATGTTGTTAATAGCACATTAATTTATT